TTATTAGATAAAAACATATGTTTAAGAATATGGCTCAATAAAAGCAAAGATGCAAACATATTGGTAAATAGATTAGAATAGTTTAAACTATAGTGAATAGTTTTTAGTGCATACATTACAGACGAGGTTGAAGAAGAATCAGAATGACAGCAGTGGTCATCAAAGAGTTTAGTGAAGGAATGTTTCAATGTGGTTGTGTGTTGTTTGTCTTCCTGTATTAACTCTTCACAGATATCGAGCCAGAACTAGGATGATGGAATCTCCCCAGTCCCGTCACCCAGAAGGGATATTGAAAGATTGTGACCTAAATTGGTTTAATATAGGTCAACAGAGGGGAACTGTTGTATATTTTAAATCTACACTATTCAGATGTGACAATATTTGACCATTTGAACATCATAGCCAAAAAAAGACCTCTGTGCACTCAGGAAAAACCCCAAGGACACAAGAAGTACGAGAATCATAAAGGAGGACCAGCTTACAAAAGCCAGACAATTATTGACTCCCAGAATAAACACATGTGTGGCAAATTTGACCTATGGATCCCCCGCAGCCCCCTCCCGCAGCAGCTGCGTTTACACAGGCGCCGCACGGGTGGGGGGCATTGTTTGCTTAAGCAGAGACCAGACCAGTCTCAGACCAGAGACCAGTTTCAGACCTGTGACGTCATCGGACCCTGGGCACAGGACCTCCCTGATACGACACGCCCCCTGCTCCCTGAACATAATGCTCTGGCTTGGGAAGAGACGAGAGAAATCAGCCGAGGGCCAGGAGAGGGACATATTAGTTAGGAGCACCTTTTTGTTGAATATTCTGTATCTGATTGTAAAGATAATTAAATGCAGATGTTAAACTTGGATATCTTCGTCTGATTTCTGTACCAAATTGTGGACACGCCAGCCAAAGGGAATTATTGGCTTCAGCATCATTACCCAGAATGCTCAGAGCCTTCCTTGTCACCTGACCACAGAACAGGTCAGAAAGAGAACTCTGAGGAGCTCCCAACATCTTAGAACTCACATTTACAATCCTCATAAGTGACTTTTTCGCTTTTTATGTTTAGATTCCCAAACCAACACATCTAAGAGAACGTTAGCACTGACTCCACACAAAATTTATAAAACAGCCTCACTATGGTCCTCTCAAAACCAAGCGGCTGCTCCACCTCTGCCGCTGTGACCGAAAGCACTGTTGCATTGTAATACTATTGTTAGCTGATTTAACAATTTTATATTTATTTGTTTTGTTTGTAAGGATGGATTTGTTTCTGCTGTTACTGGACACCTGAATTTCTCTCACGGGGGATCGACAAAGTAACTATGTATCTAACCTGGGATATGTCACAGTAATTAATCCTTTCTTACCAATTTGAAGATAAGCAAATCAAATGAAGTCAATACAATCTAGATTTTAGTCTCAGTCCAGTCAGCCTTATCAGCCGTAGACATATCAAAGTCAATCCCTGAATCTGACTTTTTGTGTTTTGTTTTGTAATGTCAGATGTATTTTTCTTTCAGAGAGAGTTTTGTAAGCGGCTGAATCTTTTATTGCAATCGCCAGTGAGAAAGAAATTCATAAACTAGGAATTTGCTTTGACATTTATGGTGCAGTATCAATAAAAAACAGATAAATTATAGAGAAGATACGGCATGTAGCCACAAAGACAACATTGAAAGTGCCAAAATATTGTGCTAGCTAAAAAATCCAGGCACGTCCAAAGTCACAAGCAAGAGATCCTACTGCCATCCAGCCAACTTCATCTCTGCCAATACAGGCCTGTTACACCTCATTGTCCTTAGGTAAGACACTTCACCCACATTAGAATGAGTCAGGTGTGTGTGTGTGTGTGTGTGTGTGAATGGTTGATGGTGGTCGGAGGGGCTGATGGCACATACTGTTTGCCTCACTTCTGTCAATGTGCCCCAGGGCAGCTGTGGCTACAGTAGTAGTTTATGACCACCATGTATGCAGTGAATGAATAATGACATGTGAAGCGTCTTGAGCTCTGAAAAAGCGCTATATAAAACCAATGCATTATTATTATTATTATTATATTATGAAGTTTCACATTGTAAGTTGAATTAAATAAGCAAACAGCCTTTTGAACGATACTGTAAATTTCACCTGCACACTGAATGCCTTTAAAGCCATAGCTATTGGTCATACAAAACACCCATTTCAGATCCATCAAAGCTGCTCACAACAAGAAAGTTGACAGAGTTGGAAAACCAAACTTTTTCCACTGAAACATTTCCAAGACACACGTCAAACCCGCTCATCTTTCTAGTTACTCTTTGCAGCCCCTATATGTGACCATCAGCCCTGGCCCACTGATGAAGAGTCCAGACCATCAGAATTGTCTGGAATCAGCTGTTTGTTTGTTTCGGCGGTGCCCCTTCTGGCTCTCTCCCAACACACACCAGTGCACAGGGGCTCCACGGGGGGCCGGGAGGTGATTGTGGCGCAGCTGCCCGTCGGCCCGTCCCACACGGCGAAGGAAACAGGGTGAAATCAGGAGCGCAGAACTCTAACAAGCTGCAGTCTCTACCTGCTGCAGCCGCTGATGAGTCACCGCGAGGAGGGCCACTGCGTTTAAGGCCAAATCAGGAGAGCGGCCAACTAACACAAGGTTTGGGTGAAAAAGATGTGTTTGGACAGGGAAAAGTTTCTCAATGTATGTGGGTTAGGGTTATGATTTACATTGTATAACCTAACAAATGATAAGAGTTTGGAATAGTTGAGGCCAACCAACTCAGGACAGTTGGAAAATACTGAATTTTGAATTATACGTTGATGTTTGGTATTGAATCTTTCATCTCTGATCAATTATGATTTGGTACAGGCTAAATGCTAAAGCTAAGCTAAATGCTAAACACCTCAATCACTCTGGCGCATTGCATACGTCACGGTACACTCAGATCCAATTGTTTCAATCTGCAAAAGGAGTTCACCCCTCCCACCTGTAAACGGAGCTCCATTAAGCAAATCCAGACCTTATAGTACGAAATGAAAGGAGTACGATGGTATGATAAGACTAGGCTAGAGAATCTCCAGAATAACCTTGAAAAAAAGTATGACTTCTGAATTCGGCATCCGTCTCGTCACCCCTAAAACAGCCAGAGTAAGTGTGTGCGTGAGCGTGTATGTGTATGTTGGATGTGCATGTATGTGTGTGTGTATGTCTGCGTGTGTGTGTGTGATATAGAGAGAGACTGGGCTGGCCTCCCTGCCTGTAAATCCCTTGAATGTGCAACTCTTTGGCTGGGTCTACTCCCCTGCGATGCTCCTGTCATATCCGATGCTGACTAGGAGAAGCTCTTCCTTCATTTAGCCGCCACTGCCTTAAACCCCTTGACAGCTAGTGGGCGGACGGGGCGCCGAGACACTTAGCAAAGTTACGTTCCATTACCAAATGAATTTCTTGGCTGTCAGCTGATCGGTGAACTCCTCAATCACAGTCCTGGTTCAAACAATTAATGATCTGGATAAATTGGCAGACATAAATTTGCCTCTTTGCCGATTTCCACGGTGCGAAATGTCTCCAGTGAAAAATCTTCCCGGCGTTGTCAATTTAACTTCATCAAAGTCTCTGTCGGAGCAGCCGTCTACGAACTGTCAACATGTTTTTGCGCTCACATTAGTGTTGTAATTGGATGTGACTTTCTATTTTAGCCAATATAAATGGTTGGAAATGCCTCTCAAATCCTTCGTTCACCTTACACTTTGAAATAGTAATGCCTTGTTTGATTGATTCGGGATGGCTAAAGACAGTTCAACTTCACATACCCTGATGTGAAACAGGAGTAAGTAAGTAAGTAATCTTTATTTATATACCACATTTCACAGACCACAAAGCGGTTTACAATTGCACACTGCGCAGAACCAGGAGGACCAGACGATGCCCAAATACAGGCAAGTTCCGCTAACACAACCACTGAGCACAAACCATTCCTATGAGTATGCCGCCATCTTGGATCGCCGGGGCTTGTGCCAGACCTATTGTACATGTTTTTAGTGGTAGGGGAAACCGGAGCACCCGGAGGAAACCTACACAGACACGGGGAGAACATGCAAACTCCACTCCAAAGGCCCTGTTCCGACCGGGATTCGGACCCAGGACCTTCTTGCTGATAAGCCAGAGTTCTAACCACTCAACCAGCGTGGTTTAGTATAAAAAAAACAAATCAAAATACAGTTTGAATGAATGTTGAATGCCTTAGATTGACTCAGATACTAATATGTACAGACAATGTATAAATACAAAGTTATTTGGATGAAAATGAGGTACTTTCAAACCTCAAAAAAGTCATACAATCCATTAAGATAGTTCTTAGCTCTCGCATGCATGTATTCTGGGCCTCTGTCACATCATTAGATTCAACTTTTTCAGACAGAAATGTTCACTGGCTCCAATCCACTCTCAGCCCTAAACTTCAAATAGTGACTCCCAGGGCTCTGTTTTGTAAGTGTGCAAAACATAGTGTGTCTAATAAGATACTGTATAAATACTGTATTTTGTGCTCAGGAATATGTTCACAATATTTTACTTTCATTGTTTTTATGTGTTGTTTTTTAAGCTTGCTACATTTACTTATACATTGGTATTCATATACAGTTACTGTCCCAACATAAAAAAATATTAAAATGCAGCATTTGATATAAAACATATGAGAATGTCTTTTATACAGTGCATGTGAATGTGTTTAGGCCTAATTGTACGATAGTGGGAAAAATATTAAAAATGTGATGATGTTATTTTACCTGTCCATGTTTACAATGTAACAGTGTTGCAAATGAAGTGGCCTTACAGGTAATTAGAATACAGTACTCTGGTTGATCCGAGCAAAGGAATATGTTATAAAATACACTTTAACGTTCTCAGTAAGTAAATCATTTTTCAAATCATTCTCCTCAACACTGCTGAATGTTTTCATTTTCTGTAATAATGCAAGTCCGTGACATTTTTCCGAAAGAGTTTGCTGACAAAAGAAAGTACAGACCTGGCGATGCTCCAGTCCGGCTCTATCTTCAGGACGGTGGGATCCTCGGTGTAGTTGAACTTCACTTCAGGGTTCCTCAGCTCTGCGTCGTCGATGTCCACCAGAACAGACACACTTCCAGAGATCAGCCCGGCCGGAGTCACACACACGATCTCACGGGCGTTCCTCCTGCACAAACACACAATGTTAAAGTGGAATCCTAGCCATGTGTTTCCTGTGCAGTAACAGCAGAGATCAGATGTGGAAATACATGTGAGTATATTACAAAATCAAATAAATATTGTTAATAAATACCGAAGAGTTCAGATGGTTATTAAAGCTGGGATAACTAAAACATAGCCTCAAACGAGTATATAGTTTAGATACAAGAATTGATTGTCCATTTGCAATAAAACCACATTGGATAGACTGTGCAAGACTACCCCAGTGTGTACCAGGTCAGCTTTTTCAGACAAAAAATTGAAAAAGAGTGGACCACACTCAGTCAGCCAATCAGCTCTCAGCCCAAATAGTGATAGATGCTGCAAAAAAAAGGAAAATATGTTTTCTAATTCATGAAAGACAGCATGTTGCGGTTTGATTACCGACTTTTGTGCTTCTTTGTGCTGTGGCAAACAACATGTATTATTTATGATGAAAAAGTTAAGTACCCCAGCTTCTCCACCGACTCCATCTGATGTCTGCTGCCGTTGTGTCCTCGGGCAAGACACTTAACCCACTTTGCCTATAAGGAGCACGGCAGTAATGTTCGCTGCTTGCCTTTATGTGTATGTATGTGTATATGTGTGTGTGTATGTGTATGTTTATTTGTATGTGTATGCATCAAACTGAAATTTCCCCATTGTGGGACAAATAAAGGACCTTCTTCTTCTTCTTCATCTTAATGCATACTTACGAAATGATTTAAAGAGTTACAGATGAGTCCTGTTTTTATGCAATACACTCCCATTACAGTGATGCAGATGGATAGATACTTTATTGACCACCTTAAGAGACCGTGTTCAATGATAAATATTTTAAACAAAAACAAAATTCTAACATACTTCCTAACTATGGTATAGCGAGTTCTATGATGAGTGATAATTTTTGGTCAATAAAATATACATAACACAATACTAGGCTTTTACAGTTTTTTTTTTTTTTTCAGTGAAGCTTTCAGGTAAAAAAATAAACAAAAAAATACTAATAATATTTTGGAAAATTCTTAATTCAAAGTATCCAATATTGCGGCATGACCCACAAGTTTTAGAACAAAACACAATTTAGCCAGAACATTTTGCAGATTGCACGGATGCTTCTGAGGCAATTTCTTGCATGAGGATGATGCAAATTTCCATTTCTCCAAAAATAGATAATTTGGAAGCAGTCATAAAACAACATTTTGCATGGTTGGTGAAAAGTGACCACGGGCGAACATCTCCCCGCTCTGAAAAACTCTAATGCAGTGTGTGTGATTTAATTGCTGGATGGAAATTGGTGTAGTAATTAAACCCAGCATGTTACTTTCATTACACCAGTTGGAATCAACACATTACACACACAGAACATTCCAATTTCACTCCCACTTCTCCACTTTCGAGGTGCTTCTCTGTTTGAGCCAGCAGTACATTTTCACTATCAACTTTGGTCGACATGAGGCCAAACATTGTGAGCATTGTCCCCCTTTATAGCCAACTGTTAAAATGTGCAATGTTTTAGAGAAACCTGTGTTCAAATGTTTTCAATGATTATCTTCAGAGATTTCAGAGATTTTTAATACTTGGATAAGTCTCTAATGTCTTTGAGTAAAACGCGGAATAGCAGCTGGGTATAGACATATTGTGTGCGTATGTATATGTGTGTGTGTACTTGTGTAACTTTTTCTCCATACTTATAATGTCATGTATCTACTCCACTACTTGCAATATAAAATTAAATACTGTAAATTATTCAACAAAAATGCATTTTACCTAAGCACATACAAAAGCTTCCAATTTTTTGTTACTCAATAAAGGTAATGCTTTCAATACCTTTACTTTTTTGAGTTTAAAAAATAATACTGTTACTTTAAAATATATATTTATTTGTATAGATTGTAAGAATAGATTTATTTATACATGTATTTGTAAGATAATTTATTTATTTGGAAAAAAATATGTAAGGCATTTATTGAATCAAGCACATATCTATGAAAACAGACAAAAGGCTGTTCTACTCAATTCATTCTACTCAAAGTATTATCCTACACTAATAATGTTTTCTAAAATTCTAATTCAAAGTTTCCAATATTGCGGCATGATCCACAAGTTTTAGAAAAAAAACAAAATCTAGCCAGCAATCTATCTTATGCCTAATCTAGCTCACCTCTGGTCTTTTGTCCCTGTTTGTAGACTTGGGTGTTTTCAAATGCGCTTTTAAATAGAATGTATTATTATTATTACTTTGCAACCTATACCATTTTGAGTGTTTTTATTTTACACATGAATTGTTTTGACAATCCTAGCGCTGAAAGTTCTATTCAACATTTAGTATAGCCTAAACAGAGTATGAATGGCAGTCAAAACCTTTCATTTCGCCATGTTTTGTGTGTATGCGGTTTGAAATATGCTATTAAATACAGCGGCGTTCTTTGAGCCTGTAGAGTGCGAGTGCTTGGACGTCCCATGGGCAAAATAGCGTTTCAATTGCAGTCTGGAGTGTGCTTCCTGACAGCGACATTATCTAATATGTATTTAGCACAGTTGAGCGGTGGCTGCTTTTCTGGGCCATGACTTCATAGCACTCAAGTACGTGTAGCATTCATTCTTCTGCGTACGTATATAGCCGACCGTATATACACCGATCCCACTGGGGACGACAATGGCAATAACAAGAAACACGCCCGCTTCCCCCCGTCCCCTCCTTTTTAGGCCGTTACCATCGCAACCTCACTCAAACCATCCAAGTACGAGCGTGTAGAGAGTTTCCGTGGCTCAGGAGCACGGCGGCGTGTGTTGGATTACTATGAGCAGCAGAAATGTGAAATACGAAAACATCAAAGCAAGCATACATTGGTGGTAATAGAGATTAGCTGCAAGGGGCTAATCCCTTCATTTGACACGCAGCACAAGTGTGGAGATAGTCTGGATTTTTTTTTTTTCCTTTTTTTATATGCATGAGATTAGTGGAGGCTTGTGTGAGGGCAGACAAGGAGATACTCAGCTAAGGTGCTTACCGGTGAGGAACAAGGAGCATACAGAAATGATTTGTGATTACATGAGTATCAGCAGCTCCAATCCCAAATAGCATTACACTGGAGATTTGAAAATAGATTTTGGCATGCTTAGTTCACCCATCAATGTGTCAGAGACTTAAAATCCATATGGTTTGGTATTTTTGTATATTTCATGTATTAAATGTGTGTGAAAAAAAGATAAAAGAAAATTGGAAAGTGCATAGATACAGTTTGTCATGTTTTCTTTTTAATCTTCCTGCACCTAGACTGCTAAATGAGCTGCATATTACCCTTGAGGAGTTTAGGGACTCCTCAAGGGTCAATATTTAGTCCAATGAGATTTCTATTACGTTTTTATAAAATATGGGGAACCTAAATATCACAAAACCAAAATAATATAATACAATCTCAATAGTTCCTAGTTCAATAGTTCCTATCAGTGGCTATCAAAAACAGTTTGGAGCATGTTGGTGGCCTTGGTAAATCACCGACTGCCCCCGATGCAGCACGCCCTCAGAAGCTTAATACAAGGGAGGAGTACGTGACCCTGAGTTGGACATCTAATGAATTACAAAAGAAGAACACAGTTTGGTTCTGTTAATAGTTTTCACATGCATGCTCTACCTCTGTCACATCACAGATCAGTTTTTTCATGAATAAGAGTGACAGCTTGAGCAGTAAAGTAAGTAATCTTTATTTATTTAAGGACCATGGAGAAACAGCAGCAGCCATGGGTATAACAGGGTAGCGGCTAGGATAGTCCAGGCTACAGCAATGAAGAATCAGAATCAGAATAATTTTTATTGCCACGTAAGTAACAGGAAGTCACAGACTTGGAAATTGCTTTGGCTCAGAAATTGCTTTGGCTCAGAAGGTGTTTGATCCACGATATATATATAGTTAAGTGAGCACTGGCTTCGAGTTTGTAACAAAGGTTGAGACGAGTGATATGGAGGTGTATGAAATTGATATATTGTAGTTTTAGTTCCAATGCAGAGGTTCACCGGAGCTGGGTCCTGGACAAGACAAACAACCAACACCCAAAACCTCAACTAGAAAACAGCTGATTCAAAGTGTTTACAGGTAGTTTGTTGATGACTTACAGTATAAGGAAGGTATAAAAGCATAAAAGCAGATTCCTGTTAGGGTAATATTAAAGCCCTGATGGCTCATTAATAATGTAATGCCAGTGCAGCTGAACTTGTTGCACAGAAGTAAGTTATATAAAAGGGATTGTGCTTGACCTTTTTTTGCCTTGGTGAAGCACACATGTGGAAGAGGACTTGAAAGAAAACATCCCTCTGGTTTCATATCACGAACAAGGGGAGAAAACGGGCCAGGGTATCTTTGCTGTACTGTCCTCTGTGATTCCCTCCTCTAGTGATGACCCAGCTTCCTGACGGGCTCATTAACATTTCATTGAGTGTGGCGAGAGTAGTGGAGATGACTTACTTTTTGAAGTGGCATGGCTGCTGGCCGATGTTGACAGTCACGTAGCTGCCCGCGTTCAGGTAGGCTCCCTCGATGGTGACCCTGGTCCCTCCAGAGATGGGCCCCTGGGAAGGCTGGATCCGGGTGAAGAAGGGAGTCTGGGGAGAAAGTGACAGAGATGGAAGTGGTTGAATAACTTCAGTCTGGCAAACTTCTATAGTGTTATAGTGTGCAAGTGTGGCTTGCACACTAATTTAAGCCTGTGGTAACTTTTAATATGTAAATAAATCCATCTACGGCAACTGGATTCAGTTTGGTTCTGTCATAAGTCTTTAAATGCATTTAGGTCTTTGTTGACCACACTCTCTCAGCCATCAGCTCTTAGCCCAAAGCATCAAATATTGACTCTCTTGCGTGTGTGTTTTTAATGATTATACATATATTTTTCCTTTCACATTTATTGGGCAGCCTCAAGGGACCCTAAGAATCATGGACAGACCCTGATCTTTCTAACGGCACCGCAAGAAGCCACCAAGAAGTGCTTTGTCCTTACCACAAAGGTGAACGGCCGGGGAGACAGCGCGCGGTAGTCGCTGATGCAGTCTCTTACGCACACCTCCACTTGAGCCTCCTGGACCCTGTATCCGGTCGCATCGTTCAGCAGACACACGATCCTGGAGGCAGATACTTGCAAGTGAGGAATTGTAGGGAAGTGATAATGTGATGCAAACATGAATAGCGTTATTTAATAATGTTGATAACTGCCTCACAGCGTGTAAAAACCCCAAATAAATATATATACTGTATAACAAATAACATAATCATCAAACAAACAAAGACTTTGTATGTAATGGGTCTATATTAATAATTGGATTTACATTTTAAGTTGTAATATAGAAATCATTCATATTTTATAGAAAGTGATTAGAAATATCATTGGACTAAATATTGATCCTTGAGGAGTCCCTAAACCGTTAATATGCAATCACTGCGGCCAAATAACAAGTCATTGGAATATCCTAGGTTCTAATTACTTAAAACCAACAGTAGAAACATCAGCGTCTTTAAGTGTCCAAAAAAGTGCTATAAGTTTGATATAGTATTATTATTTTTTATCAGTCTTTGAGTTTTTCACTGTTAAGTAAAGTGCTAACATACATACTGAAAAAGTCATTTAATATAGTAACTACCACTGGCTATAAGTGGCATCATGTTTAGTATATTATTCCCCATAATCAGAGTTAATTTCATACAGCACTTTTCCACCCTGTAGCACAAGCGTTTATATCAATGAACAACAGACAATGGGGGGAAGGGTTAAGTGTATTGCCCAAGGACACATGCGCAATATCCACATACAAATAGGATAATTATGTCAGAAAAGAATGACACATGTTTCACGGTCTGAAAATGCAAAGGCTAATTCCACCAACACATGTAGATGTTTTTTGTTAATAATTAATTCATGTATTACTAAAGTGTAAAGAAGATAAACATAACATGAATAGACAGAGACTTTATTTCTTGTCCTTTCATCTTATCATTTTCTCCCAGATAAAGAAACGCTCCACTCCTACATCTCCTGTGTGTATAGCTGCAGTGCAGTTTCTTTGCATTTCTCATCCGCAGTCCCCATCGAGCTCCAGCATGTCTCCAACACAAAGAAATCAATGCCAGTCACATGACCATTGTATATCGCACAGTGCTGCAGGATAACTGACACAATAGAATCCCACTTTAAACACGGCACTCACGAAACCCTGCCTAATATGGTCCTGTGGAAGCGATGCAAGTGCGCTATTTGAATACAGACGGCCGCCACAGGTGCACGCCTCGCTTCTCCGCTAAGTGCGCTACACAGACATTGTTTGATCCGAGTGAACTCCATCCTTGAGGCGGCTGCGAGGAGCCAGACGTGTGTAAATGTCAGGACGGAGGCAGGAAATGAAAGCGGAGAGGAGATGAGGCGTAATGAAGAGGAACAATTGTAGAATTTACCGAGGAAAGAGTCTGTAGAGGTATACACTGAAGCATGATGCAAGAGTGATGTTGAATTTAGTTGAGTGAAGGTGTTGATGTTTAATATGTGCCAAAAATGCCATTTGTTTTAGTGGATAAGGTCTTGCACCTACATATTGGAATTTACATTTTCCTGTCCATTTTTAGTACAGAATGGAATCTTGATGAAATGAAATGTCAAAGCAGTATCAATATATATATTTATTTGTGTCTGTCAGTAAAAAAAATAAAAAATACTATTATTATATTATTTTTGTTTTATTTACTGTTATTGGGTTCTGTTTTCTTTTTCTTCTTCAGACATATATAATCATACATTCATACATATACACAAATTGCCCAAATCCACGATTGCCCAAATGAAGTCATAATAAGCAAATCCTATAGGCACATTTCATCCTAAATAAACGTTGAGCCTCCTTAAACTATCTCTAATTCACACAAAGCCTCTACCTCTTCTCACTTTTAAGTTATTAATAAATTAAGATGTCAACTTTGAGCCTCTTTGGGAAAAACCTCTGCCGCCAAAAGGGTTCATAGACAAGTAAAAGTCAAGACATGCTTTGAACATACTTTATCTGAAATAATTGAGTGATACTCCATTTGAAGAACGTAATTGTTGTTATAAACCTAGAAATATTGTATTTCTTAATAATAATTTAATAGTAATAATTCTATATCCATCACCCACCTCTCGGCGCTCAAATACTCGTCCTCGATGGGAACACATGGCACCTTCCCGAGCTTCACTCCCATCTGGATGTCCCTGAACTGCAGACCCAGGTTCTCCCCCAGGATCGTCACCCGGGTCCCCCCCTGACGAGGCCCCGTCTCTGGGAACAACTGCAACACACAAAACACACTTGTTACATTTGAAGTCAAAATGGGAAGGCAATACGAGCACAACATTAATATAGTGACAATATGGTCATCTTGTCTTGGTCAAGATTTGCATAAAATAAACAGCAAAACAAAAGCATGCAGGGTGATGCATGCATTGAAGAGTTTCAATGTATGTAATTTTACACACTTCTGTCTTTTGCTCAAACCTGAGTGATTCTATCTTTGCCAAAAGTGAAATGTAAATGTATCCTGTGTGAGACCAATAAAGTATATCTTATCTTTTCTTATCTTATAATATTTGAATCAGAATTGACCAAACCTCCTGAATGAGAAGCCACATACTTTCAAAAACCAAATTCTCTTTCTGATGAGTATACTTTTAGACTTTTTGGTAGGTTGGGTGATGTATCCATTTGAGTATGTTCGTTTGCAGTCAGGCCATACTACTGTTGGTTTTAGATCCGAAATGCCCTGGAACCCCTTCTCCAGAAGACCCACCAAAACAAGCGCGAAAACAAATCCCTTCAGAGCAGTGACCCTTAAACGCAACACTGCTCCCTGGACTCGCCGTGCACACGCCATAAGCACATCTCTATGAAGTCATAATGAAGAAAAACGACTCGCTTTTCACCCCCTCCGTCTAAAAAACCAGCCGCCACCCAATGCACGCACGGCACAGCATCACAGCCCCCTAATTGAAAGTCATTACGCGCTGGCTCGGTGTCGGTGGCTGTAGCGCCGTGACGCTCGGTTGCTCTGAAACATAATGTGATTTATGTGGGCAGATTATGGTGCGTAACGGGGACAGGTGTGCGGTGACAAAACAAACGGCATGACGGATGGACGCGGCTGTCACACGCTCGCTACATGCTTATCCGGGACCTAACAAGCAGAGGGAGATGATTACGGACTGCAGGCTTGGCTGGATCCACTGCAGGACTAGAACAGTGAGCTGGGAGGGGATTTGGAGATGCTTTTTTATTACAGATGACGGAATCAAGAAGCACGGCTAATGATAATGGGTGCTTGGTCAATGAGAAAAATCCTGTATGTCTTGCAAAATAGAGCATTACCCCTATGTGTTACTTGAAAGAGCTACATGTTGTGTTCACTGACTCATTGGGAGGAATTTAAGAGCACTCATTGGTCTTTCCTCTATCTGAGAAAAGATGTGACATAATGTGAGCGCTTTGTGGCTCTGGTATGTGAAATGCAATATATAAATAAATTACTTACTTTACTTTACTTTATGTTAAGTTTATGTTACGTTGACACATGGCCGTTCTCTGCTTGAACATGTACAAATCTCTTTTTTGTTTTATACAGCGAAGAAACAGAAGTAACGGAATACATGTATCGCCATAGCCTGGTTGTACCACACCACAGTACAAATTTAATTTCATACTAAGGTCTGGATTTGTGCCATTGAGCTCCGTGAACAGGTGGGAGGGGTTAACTCCTTTTGTAGAGTGAAACGATTGGATCTGAGTTTACCGTGACGTATGTAATGCGCCTGAGTGAGTTGTTAGCATTTAGCATTTAGCCTTGCTTTAGCCATCTCCTTTGCTGCTAACGGACCCTGTGGGGAGTAGCGCCACAATCTTGACGAGCGATTACATTTGCTAAACATTCCTCTTGCTCCTGCTTCAATTTCCAGATAGAAACAGACTGGATTACTTTACTATCGCATTTTTCGCCACTGCCAAACTACAACCTGCCCGTTCGGCGCAAACTCTTGGCGTCACCAGCACCGAACTACAACACCCGCCTTCCGCGCTCTCAAAAAAGAAAAAATGCATTAAAAAAACGTTTTAAGACTTAACGGCCTGTCTATCACACAAACTTCAGCAGGAGTAAGAGTGAGGCTGAGGAGAGAGCTTTCCCAGTCTCCAGAAACTGCCTTAAGATATTTTTATTTGAAACTATCTCTGCTAATATTGCGTTTGATAAGAGATGTGCGCAACAGAAAGATGAAGGCATTAAGTTTGTACTGTCCATAACCAATGAAGACCGACTGAAATGGCTATAATCAGGTTCGGTGTATTTGTACTGTTTAAAAGAACCCTACTAGACTGGATTATTAAGTCCTTTTACCTAATACCAGCCAGTTCTGATTCCCCTAAAACACAGTAAATCCAACAGTCACGCTTCCCTGCAGTTAGCACACTCCCAGAGCCAGAAGTGGTTGTACGAGAAGAATCCAGGCAGCACAAAGCCGGGCCCATTGTCACCGGAGGGGGAGCAGTCTGGTTTGGGATAAGGCCTTTTGGAAGCTGACTCATGTTGGGACCTCTGGCACCGGCTGCAGCTCCAGCACAAGAACACAAAAGCTTGGTAAACACTGACCACAGCTACTGCGCCGTCCGTGACGCTTCGGGGTGTGATATGCACAACAGATGTCCCGGTGCGGGATACGGGGGCTTTTTTTTTTCCTTCGACGGGTTAGCGAGAACCGGAGCATGAGAGCGCAGAGCTGAGTCCCACCGCGGGGCGTAAACAGTAGCACAGACAGACAGGCGGTGGGGCTAGGGGGAGAGGGGTTCAGGCTGGTGCACGGATTAGCAGAATCATCACAGGCAGCGAGGGAGTGCAATTAAAACCACAACGCTGGATACAGGGCGTGCGAGAGGCATGGTACAGCTCTGGTTTATAGTGCCGTACAGATATACCATTGTGGGACTTCAATCAGCAATGGCACGTTATCAGTAGTAAGAGGTCCGTGGTGATTGTCAGGATGCTGGAACTGATAACTTTGATTGGTTATTTGCATTATTAAGCTGTTAGTTAAGCTGGTGGCAGAGAAAGGCACGGGAATGTGTGACTACTAGATATGAAGTATATTCAGTATGGAGCAATAACATTGAAAAGGGAAAAACGTGACTTATGATTGTTATTTATGGTTATAAAAATGTAACAACTATTTGAAATATGCTCAATTTCAGGAAACCAGCAGAAAAATATTGTAAACGAACCCAATTATTCAAACCCCAACCCAGACAGGCTTGGCTGAGGATACACAAAAACACATCATCTTTCAACCTTGACCAATAACTAAAAAACTGTGTAATTATGTTCTTAGTCAGAGCTTTACTATCATTGCTTATTTCCTGGCTTTTGCAGTGAGGGCAGATATTAGGAATACTTCTTTGACTATGTGGGTTCAGCGGTTGAGGCAGGATTGCCAAGACAGTGGAAAATTCTGTGTGGCGGGGAAAAAACACAGATACCAGGCATTCTTCAGAGTAAAGAAGATAATTCAGTTATAATAACAGTGGCTTTGAAACCACATTGGGCTGTAAATAGATTGTAGAGGAGCATAAAAAGCTGCCATCGCTGAACAATAAACTTTAAAGGATTTGTGCTTCATGCATTTACATTCGCTTAAAAAAGAGAGTGTTTTCTCTGAGCAAAATGTTGTTGCCTTGGTATTCATTTCATAACAAGGTTTTGCCTGTTGCTTTGCTCATCCTGTGTCAAGTTTTTGCATTGACCTCTTTAGTTATGTTCATGAAAATGTCTCATATGTTTCCTTATTTTAGATTTCTTGGACAAAAAGGTTTAGAAGTAAAAGAAGAAAAACCAATGCACTATTAGATTTGGGATGAGGCAGCCCTGCTCAGACTCAGAAGATAAGTCTGGAAAGAAATGTCACTAATCCAATGAGAAGACATTAGCAAAAACCAGGTCTGTGTGGAGTTTGGGATTGTTCTGGGCTGTTTGGTTTCTCCCATTAACGCAAAAGCAGGAGGTGGAATGGTATTGTATTATTATGATGTAAATGTGTCCTTTGGGAGCTCAATAAAAAGTGTATCTTATCTTGTAGACTTATTTGTATACAAGTATAAAGTGCCCCAAAAAAGCAACAATGTTTGATTTGTTTTTCCTCCCACTGGGTTTAGAGTCATCCTTGCTGACGCAGGACGGTCTCAGGACAAGGAAGGACACGTGACCTTTACAAGCTGTAAGGACTTGGGTTAAAAATGTTATTATATGGACCAATGACACTCAGAGGATGTATTATTATAATTCTCATGTGTTCTAATTGTTTGATTTTCTAACCAACCATTGGCAAATCAACAATTCTATGACACCCTTCAAGATGACCGCTGTTGTAATTTTGGGCTATAGAAATGACATTGATCTGATTTGATTTGATAAGCTGATGAGCGGCTCATTTAAGGTCTGTGTGGAGTTTGCATGTTTTTTCTCTTGTCTGGGAATTCTCTTTTTGGTTTCTTCCATCAGATACAGATTCATTTATATGCCATTTGCAGTAAAACCACATTGGAATACATCCGCAAAAGTCCCCAATGTGCACCAGACAAGTACAAAATTAAAACAAACAAAACAGGGAACAATTGGCAAACTGTGAAATCGATCGACTAAAACAGAACAAGCACAAGTTAAGTACAAGTGCAAGATTATTTAAACTGATGGACTTGTGGGTAGAAGCTCAGCAGCGTACAATATCTAAAATATACAAATATCAACGCAAAAAATGAAGGAGTTTGAATCTAGGGAGTGAGTGAGTGATGGTCATAGGATCTGATGATAGAGATTGACAGCTTCATTTCCAAGTGTGGAGTGAAGGAATGATGACTTGAGTGCAGGGCTTTGGTGAGACAAACCACAAGGGGCAAGACTATAATTATTACTTAGGGCGACAGAAGCTCAGTTGGTAGAGCATTGGCCTTTGAGCCAGAAGGTCGTGCGTTCGAGCCCTCCTCAAGACATTCTCCACCCACTGATGTCTGCTGTCGTTGTGTCCTTGGCACTTGACATTTAACCCCTGGGAACACCTGATGCCACAGTGGGGCGGCTGCAACTGTAAAGTACCAAACTGCCATTGGTTCCTTTGGCAAGACACTTTACCCATATTGCCTAGAATGAGTCTGGTGTGTGTGTGAATGGTTGGTGGTGGTGGGAGGGGCTGATGGCACAGACTGGTTGCCTCGCTTCTGTCAGTGTGCCCCAGGACAGCTGTAGTTACATTAGTAGTTTATCACCGCCGTGTATGGAGTGAATGAAAAGTGTCTTTGAGTGTCCTAAAAGCACCATAAAAAAACAGTTAATTTTTTTTTATTTTATTTTAAAGTCCAAAAGCGTTTGCATTGTTGGACTTTAATGTGGCTCCATAATTAGACAATTCCCGGTCTTGGAACAATGGAGGTCTCTACTTCTACAGCACTGTGGTTATAAATAAGGGTTCTGGGCGAGACACTTTGAAGTAAACTGAATCGTTCCTGCTCCTTTTTGCCGGGCCCTGAACACCTCGCAGCTTTTTCTAATGGAGATGAAATACAGTGGAGTCCTTCAGTGGCAGCGTGGTCGCTCTGAAGCCAAAGTAACCACATCCAACTCTGAGGGCGGCGTGCGCGGTCTGCTGGTGCCTCTGTCTAACCACACACTGTGATTACCAGGGTAAGTAATAGCACATGGTCCAACGGCAGCCGCAATAGGAATTATGGGAACCTAACATTATCGTGGGAGTTCAGTTTCAAAACAAAACTGATTGAAATGTGTGGAAAGTAAAGCCTTAATGAAATAATCTATAGCGAAACGTTTTTAATTACGTTTTTTTTTTTTTTGTCAAATGGGAATGTGCAGTTTTCCCACAAGGTTTGGATTAATTTTCCATCGCATCAAATCACAAATGTGGGCTTTCTAATCGCAAAGTCAGCGCTCTAATAAAAACACACAAATATATTCTAACAGATTTGCAAATGATGTATTGACATTTGTGAAAGTATAATTTGGAGCTGAACTGGGAAAACTAAAGTCATTGCCTCAAGAGGAACATGATGCATTTAAAAAGTGCAAAGTTTACATTTAGAACTAATTTGTAGTTTGTTTCATGAAGAGAAATAAAACGTGAGTATTCTATGGGATAAACTGGTTTAATTCAGGCTTGTTACCATGGCAAAGTTGTAGCTGTTTTCAATAATTCTGAGGACATTTAAATGCAAGAAATATGACAAATCAAGAACAAATAATTCAGTATATATGACCTAAGCAGTAATGTATTTCGGGCCCGGACTCTGAGGAGCACAGGGACGGGTCTCCTGCTTGTGCCCAGAGTCAGAAGTAAACTTGGGGAGGCTGCATTTCAGATTTGTGCGGCTAGGATTTGGAACAGTCTTTCTGAGAATGTGAGACAGGCGTCTTCTCCGGCAGTTTTCAAGTCTAGGTAGGGGCGACAGTGGCTCAGTTGGTTGAGCATTGGCCTTTGAGCCCGAAGATTGTGGGTTCGAGCCGACAACGAGACCTTCTCCACCGACTCCCACTGATGTCTGTTGTCGTTGTGTCCTTGGGCAAGACACTTAACTTTGCCTATAAGGAGCAGGGAAGGGATGTTCACTGCTTGCCTTGATGTGTTTGTGTATGCACTAAACAAAAATTTCCCCCTTGTGGGACGGATAAAGGACCTTCTTCTTCTTCTAGGTTAAAAACAGTTCTGTTTAGCTGTGCATACAACTGATTTATTTTATGATGATGGATATTTATGGCTTTAATCTCATGTGCGATTTTAATTTTCTTATGATCTCAATGTATGTTTTTAATGCCCTTTGGGATTTTAATGTTTTATGTTTATGTAGATTTGAATGTCTACAATTTTTGCCTGATGTGATGTGGGTTATGAGGCGCTTTGTGTTGCCTTGAGAAGGAATGGCGCTCTACAAAAGTTGATTGAAATTCTGAATCATTCTCACATCTTTCCTCTCACCTACCCCCTTTAAATTGACCTCCACAGGGTTCTCAAACATCTCAACCCATCTCTCCTCCATACATATCACACTATCGACTGCCTTCCTCTTAAAAAATCCACAGTTAAAACAAAACAAAAAATCCACCTCACTTCTACCCACCCTTCTCCTTTCAGAGCACAAGATTTGATGTAACTGCGAGTAATAAGAATATGTCTCGGTGCCAAGGGCAGACTCAAGGTCCCAGTACACTGCTCCTTTAATAGCGGCACATTAAAAGGTGCTAGTGCTTATTTTGGCTTCAGCACACGTACGCATGCTTTTCGGGACCAAAGTGAAGTGATGCAACGGCCTATCAGGCGCGGACAGCCGCGGCATCTCCACAGGTGACGCGGCACGCTTCAAAGGGCACTCCCACACCGACCGGGAGGCTCGGGCGCTGCTTCTCCGCCGCTGCACATGAAGGCGAAGTCTGGAGAAGGCCGTGAGTGGATTCATCTATTTGGGTTCATCTGTTGTAGGTTTTGGGGAAGGAGAGGCTTTGTGGGGAGAGGAATTAAGGTCTGTTGATGCAATGTCGGCCCAGAGTTCGAGAGTTTATGCTGAATGGGAAGAGATGGGGGGGGGTCTTGACTAGAACCAGGAAGTACGATCACATTAGTCCGGTTCTCAGGTCTCTGCACTGGCTCCTGTGGCTCAGAGACTCGACTTCAAAACAGCTCTGCTTGTTACAAGTCTCTCCATGGCCATATAAAATGGCTGGGACTCTGAGGAGCACAGGGACTGGCCTCTAGCTAGGACTTTGAGGAGCACAGGGACTGGACTCCTGGTGGGACTTTGAGGAGCATAAGGACTGGACTCCTGCTGGGACTTTGAGGAGCACCGGGACTGGACTCCTGCTGGGACTCTGAGGAGCACAGGGACTGGACTCCTGCTGGTCCCACAGTCAGAACTAAAAATGGGGAGGCATCATTTCAGATTCATAATGCTAAAATCTGGAACAATCTTCCTGAAAATGTGAGACAGGCCTCTTCTCTGACAATGTTAAAATCTTAAATCAAAAATTTAAAACAGTTCTGTTCATCTGTGCTACAATTGTGGGATTTTATATATTTTTTTATATATATTACTTTCTTAGTAATATACTGTGATTATTTAGGATTGCTATGTCTTGTGTGACTGTTTCTTTCTTTTTGTGAGTTCTTTGAGTTGCTTTGTGTATGAATTGTGCTATACAAATAAACTTTCCTTGCCTAATGTTTTTGTTTTTAAAGTTTAGTTTAGATTGTTGTCATACAGGGATGCACTCTTGCCGCTTTAAGTTTGCGTGAACATGTCACGGTGCATCATCGCATTTTGCAACTGGTCTGTGCAATCCGCTGTTCTATGAATTAAATTAAAATAGTTGTGTCTTGCTTTTATGTATAAGTTATTTAAACACCTCAAAGGAGTTCGCTATTTTCAAGCGAGGGCGTACAATTTATGGGGAATAGGGAGGGCATTCGCATTTGTGCATAACTAAAACCATGCAGCATATGGTTTCTTGGGATTGTTTACAGAACATATGCAGCAGCTGAAAGTCTCAATCTAAATCTGAAATTAAAATATGCAAAACATTTAAGCCAATTTCTCAAAGTCTGTGAAAAATCTGCAAAAAAAACCAAACAGGTCTAATCTCTCAAACATGTTTATGGAGATGATTTCCCTGAACAACTATTGCTATACTTTTACTTCTTGTTTACTACTTCCACCAACAGACTTAAGGTGTGTTGAAACTAATTAGTCTGAAGGACTCGGTTCACTTCAGAAGCAAATGCAACAGTTTCAAACTTGGCCAATATTCTCCGCTTTGGTGATTTATATATCCACAAAAAAGCATCAAGGTCCCGTGAATGTCCCTTATAGAAGAATGCATGAGCAAAATGAGCAAGGATCTCCACATGTTTGCCTTAATATTGTTTTTGAAAATGTATGAAAAATGCTGGTCAATCATGTTTATCATCAATTACACAAAGAAACCTCTCTGATACAGATTAAACTAGGGATTTAAAAGCAAGATCAACAGTCCATGTCCTTCTACTTTCTTCACTTTATGATAAACTAATATTGCCAACTCAGTACATAAAGGATTATCAAGTAATGTCAAGTCTGTATTTGTTATACTGTTGATATTTGACACACAACTTTTAAGATAAGATAAGATAAACTGTATTGTCCCAAGAGATTTTTGCGGTAGATACAGTGCTACACAGTAGAGCCCTGCACGGGCCTATTATCTGGGCCCGAGCCCGGCCCTGGCCCGAGGGGGTGGCGCCCCAGCCCGGCCCGGCCCGATATGGTTTCTGAATTTTCAGGCCCGAAACCCGCATCAAGCCCGCCTTTTTTTTTTTTTTGTAACCTCCCATAACAATGTTTTAGCGTAGTATATAGTGCCGCGCACTGATATGAACGCAGACTTAGCTAGAGGGCGGAGTTATACATGGTAGTGATGTGTTGCAATGAGTTCTGTGTGTGCGGAGTGGTGCAGAGTGAACGGCCGCATCTGTATGCCCCCGATGCTGCAACACATCTGCACATTACATAAGTAATGCTATGTGCCGTCAATGACAACACTACACAGAACAACAAACACTACAGCGTGATAGAACGCTATATTCAGTGGGTGCGCTCGTAAATCTATTCTGCCACTCTGAAAATGAAGAGCCCGAGCCCGGCCCGTGTCCGAGGTCATTATGCGGTCATCGGCCCGAAGCCCGGCCCTCGGGCTGTCGGGCCGTCGGGGCCCTCGGGCCAAGGGCTCAAGTGCAGGGCTCTACTACACAGATCTGCATGAATGAAAACAATAAAAGGAACATTACAGGAAAGAGTAGTGGTGCTTTGAATTCTCTGGTCAATTCAGCATCAACATAAATAGAAGCTCCTGATAAAAATATAAAAAAATAAATAAAAAAGAACAAGTGCATTAATTATTTGTATTTTGCATTTATTCATTTATTTCAAACATGTATATACAGACAACATGTTAACTTCACATGAGTTCTGAGCACAGGAGTGGGTGAAAGTAAAAACTTTAAAAAAGTGTCAATTTTGTTTTTGTTTAAAAGTGCAAAGGAGCGCTTGTTTAAAAAAGGACTGTGTGCCATAATCATCAATAAGATAAAAAACCAAGGCCACTGTCACTTTGCACATAATGATTCAATATGATGTGTATATTTCACATTTCAAGTTGTTTTACAGAAATACACTTTATCCTCTTCCCACCTCTGCTCTCTCCACACTGTCTTACCTTGGTGATCCTGGGGTGGGAGCAGCGGCTGTTCCCAGAGGAGGGGTGCATCCAGCCAGGCTCGGACAGGGCCAGGGGCAGGTGGGCGATGCCTCCGCTGGTGCACTCCTGTCTGAGGGAACACTTCTTGTCCTGGACGCACCAGCCACACTCGAACCTGGGATCCGCCTTCAAGCACATGCCACAGCTGTCCCGGAGAGCACGGCACTTGTACAGGTGAGCTGGGGGGGACACAGAGGGAGCGGCAGGGGGTTAGACTGCTGTGATGATGTGTAGTTGGGTTATTCTTAAAACAACATTATGGGGATTCAATATATTTATTTTGTTAGTGCCCATAGTCAAGACTAAACATGGGAAGGCTACATTTCAGATTTATGGTGATAAAATCTGGAACAATCTTCCTGAAAATGTGAGACAGGCCTCTTCTCTGACAATGTATATATCCAGGTTAAAAACAGTTATTTTTAGTTATGCTACATCTGAGGGATAATTTTATTTTTATATTTTCCCCTTTCTTTTTAATGCACTGTGATTATTCATGATTTTAATACTATCTTGTCTTGTTCAGCACTTTCAGTTGCCTTGTGTATGAGTTGTGCTATACAAATTCTGTAAACTTTTGCCTTGCCTTAAAACTCTGGCTGGATTATTATTATCTTTTTATTTTTTTGAAATACACTATGTGACACTATAAGCTTTCTTGGAACCCCTTTTCAAAGTTTGAACTAGTATATATCTGTGGGCCTTCTAATCGCAAAGTCAACGCTCTAAAAACACAAACAGACTTGCAAGTGATGTATTGACATTTGTGGAAGTATAATTAGGAGCTGAACTGGGAAAGAAATGTGCAGTACAAATAAAGTGGATTGAATTGAACAGGATTTATTTTTGTGCTGTAATTTATTTGGTGTTTTGTGCTGAATTGTGTAATATCTGGAAAGCATGTTGTGAGAGTGTGCTATAAAACCAAACTCGACCTTGACCATATGAATGTGAATCACTCCTCACTCATTATCACCACTCTGCTTCAGCTATAAGAACTGTTTATTCCCGATAAACACAAAGGCAAACCGCCACCTCCAGCCATATTTGAGATATTAATTCAACAGGTGATGTCTTGTAATGCCAACAGGGATTAGATAAATTGCTGTATTAAAAAAAAAAGAACTAAAAAATCGCTTTGACTCCACACTGGGGAAAGTCATTAAAATTGCAAAATGAATCCGTAATTGTGAGTGGGGGTAAATATTGAGAAACAGCTGAGATGAAAGCGAGCAGAGGGTAGGGGCAGAGCGGAGCATGGCCGGAACAAAAATGAACATTATTGTTGCTTCTTTAATGGATTATAATTTCAGATTATTATTTTGATTAGAGAATAAGTGTTGCTTTTTCCATTTTATCTCTACACATTTGGTATAAACACTTTCAGACCACATGCATGAAAGCTACTTTAGAGAACGTATCCAATAAAAAACATACAAAAATACATTCATTATTGTACATTCTGGTTGTGTAGCTTTACAGCAACTCAGTGTGTATTTGTGGCCTAAAATGGAAGAAACTTAAAAGCCATGTCTTGAAGTGGGAATAATAGAATAATATTGCAGACCTCACTGGGATGGTGACTGTTTTTATTATGTCCTGTACAGTGTCCTTGGGTGTTTTGAAAGGCGCTTTTAAATAAAATCTATGATTTTTAAATTATTATTATTATTATTATTAATTGAAGTCATTTTAGGCTCTAATGTATAGTGATGGTTTGGTACTTCATTGTGAACAAGAAGGGTTTTTTCCCGCATTGCCAGTTAGACCCGCCCCCACAAGTCCCTGATTGGACACAAGGAATTCAAATCCTTGACAGACTACTGGTCCGACTATTCTCTTTCAGAAAATATCAGTGGTTATACTTATTCCAAGGAAGGAGCTGTTTGAAATATATCAAGAAAAAAACGTAAAGGTATAAATGATGAATTTCTACTTCCAGGTGTATCATCAAAACTATTGATGATTGGTCCTCCCACTTGTCAATCATTCCGGTGACACGTGGTCGTCAAAAAATATCAGAAAGTGTTGTTGTGGAGTGGGCGGTTATTTCCTAAAATTTTGGAAAATCCTTATGGTCAGACATATGTATTATTTTCAAATTGAAACACAAAATTAGCTTTAACTAACAAACATTCCAGATAAGATATATTGTACAATCTAACGTGGCAGCCTCCTTCCTCTTCCGACTACGTGAACTTCAAACGCAAGGCCCTGGCTGTCTCCATCTGTCCGCGGCTCCACTTAATCAGATTATCCACGGGCCGGGCTTAAAGGCAGCGCCGTGCTAATTAATCTGACGCAAATGAATGATTGAATTAACAGGAACATCTCAAGTCTAAAGCGGGGTCGGGCCGCAGAGCCTCAGACGGCTAAAGAAGTTGGGAGAGAAAAGAGAGCCAGCGTGAAGAGGAAGGATTACCACGGAGGAGAGCTTTAAACCACTGAATATGGTTTTATAATGCGGCCATTGAAAAGTGTGGGTTCTCTAACGGCAAACACAAAAGCCGGAATCTTATAATGCGTTTATGTGGAAAAATAACTAAGTGGTATCAACTTCCTCCCACTACCCAAAAATGTGTGAGGTGAAATGGGAACTGTCATTGGACCATGGGAAAATCATAATGGCCTTATAGTTCAGAAGGTGAAACATGAATTACCCTGGTTTTGAAATCAATTAAATATAATATTAACATTGTTCATAATTTTCACACATTTGACTGGATGTTTTCTTCATTTTTTGGCCACTCAAAAAAGCTTGTGTGCTCTCGCTAAGTTGTAATATAGTCATTTTTCACCCACGCTCAGGTGAATATACAAGTGACAAACCGATTTTGTTTGTTTTACTTTGCTTTAAAGAAACCTAAATGCTAAAGCTAAAGCTAACCTTTTTTGTTTCATAAATAACACAGGCAGTTTGTCCAACAGAAAGAGCCTTGTAAAAGTAAATTGTTGCAAACATTTCCGACCACATCATGCCATCTTCATTTTATCAGAAATCGTTTGCATACTCGTGAGAATGACCCCCATGAGTCACTATTTGAACGTTTTGGGTGAAGCTTATTAGCAGTGTGAGGGTGGTCTTCTCTTTTTCACTTTACTGTTGGAAAGTGAAAAAGGAAAACTATAGCAATGACTGAGGCAAAACATACAAGGATTTGAAAAGTAGTGACAGAACCAAACTGTTGGGAGACGCTTCACATGTCATTAGCCTCACTTCTGTCAGTAGCCACAGCTGTCCTGGGGCACACTGAAAGAAGCAAGGCAACCAGTACCACCACCAACCATTCACACACACACCACACTCATTCTAGGCAATGTGGGTAAGGTATCTTGTCCAATTTTGTCACTTTACAGCCGCAGCCGCCCCACCGTGGCACCTGCTGTTCCCAGAGGTCTCCCATCACTGTATTAACCAGGCCCTGCCCTGCACAGCTTCAGAGGTCTGACAGACTTACGCATGCAAGTTTGGCCACATGGATTTGAATAACAAATTTCAATGTTGTGTGGTTTGAAAGTTAGATACCCAAACTTTAATGAATCAATTGATGGGAACTTGAACATTACCGACACATATTTGTTTCTGGTAAGAGTAGTTTTGTCGGAGACTTATGACATTCTAGAATCAATTTCCGTAGCAACACTTTAGCGCTTTAGACCGATGTGACAGCAACGTACATTTTTGGTCATCCAGGAACATCGACGGCAGCCCTTCAAACATCTCTAAAATCATTTCACAGATTGTTCCCAACATTAATACACGGTCTAACTTCACTCAGTCAATTTGTAAACGAGTCTCGACCATGAACAGATACATCCAGTTTTGTACAGAAACCATTCATCATCACCGTCCATTACCGCCCCATCATTTCCCATGAATATTTTTCTTGCGAGGCGTTTGTGATTCCAACAAAGGCCCAGCTGCTCGCATTCTGTCATGTCGGACCTGCCAATCTCAGCGTTCGCAGCCACAACAGGAGAAACTGTCACACAAATCTGACATTCTACTTTAACAACATCAAATCTACATCAGAGCTGTCACATCCCGGCGCCGGATCCCCTCGGACCGGCTGCTAAAGGCATAGCGCCCAGTATAAAATAACTTTTCTCTTTCTTATTTCAGACAAAAACTTTTACTGTTCAAAACTAATCGGACTTATATGTGCATGTGTATATTATGTGCATGTGATATTATGTGCATGTGATATTAGGTGTATGTGATATTAGGTGTATGTGTACACCTAATATGTGTATTATATACACATAATATACACTGTATACTATGTGCATGTGTACAGTATATTATGTGTATGTGTATATTATGTGAAGGTGTAGATTGTGTTTATGTATATTATGTGTATGTGTTTATTATGTGTATGTGTATATTATGTGTATGTTTTTTTTTTAATTGAAGAGCTTTGTGATCAAAACAAGGTTAAAAAAGTATAGGCTAAGCTGATTTGGTATATTGTCACCGTTGAAGAAAGATAATTCTTCCACAAAGAATAGAGATATTATCTGATTCACTTTCACACATCACATTCACTTTGTGGATTCTTTAAATACAATTCATCCATCCATCCATTTTCCATCCATTTTCTTCCCCTTAATCCATTTCTGGGTCGGGGGGGTGTCAGTCAGAGCACCAGCCCCTCACTGATCCTCCTGCAGGTGGTGAGTCCACAGGAGCTGAGGTCTTTCAGTGGGGACTTCAGGCAAAGTGGGGTTAAGTGTCTTGCCCACGGACATAACAACAGTAGACATCAGTGGGAGTTGTGAAGGAGGTCTTTTTGGTGGGCTCGAACCCACAACCTTCAGGCCCAAAGGCCAATGCTCTACCAACTGAGCCACTGTCGCCCCCTCAATACAATTCAATTTATTATTTATCGCCCTAAATCACAACAGTAGTTATCTCAGAGGATTTAACAAAACCGTTGAAATCGCCAACACAGCCAGAATAGAGACAAAGGAAGGTTGCTCACCCATCATCTGTACTTCAGTTTGCAGGTTTTCTCAACGTTTCGTTCTTAAACCAAAGACCTTTCTCAAGGGAATAAACTCAGCCCTTGAGAAAGTTCTTTGGATAAAGAAGGAAACGTTGGTAAAACTAATGAAGTACAGACCAATGTCCATAAATGTTGTAGAATCTTTGAGTGTTCTGGAGCATCAACACAGTCCTTTTTGGTTAGACCCACTAACAGTCTAGACCTTGAATCTGCACACCTGATTATGTCAGAAATGTAAGCACGTTTAAGCTTCTACATGTAAGGCAAGGCAAGTTTATTTGTATAGCACAATTCATACACAAGGCAACTCAAAGTGCTGAACAAAACCAGAAAGCATTAAAATCATAAATAATCACAGAACATTAAAAAGAAAGCTAAAAATATATGCACAGCTAAACAGAACTGTCTTTAACCTGGTTTTAAACATTGTCAGAGAGGAGGCCTGTCTCACATCTTCAGGAAGACTGTTCCAGATTTTAGCAGCATGAATCTGAAAAGCAGCCTCCCCATGTTTAGTTCTGACTCTGGGCACTAACAGGAGTCCAGTCCCTGTGCTCCTCAGAGTCCGGGCTGGTTCATATGGGACTAACATGTCACTAATATATTTTGGAGAGATTTGTAACAAGCAGAGCTGTTTACAATGAAGGTGTAGGTGTGCGCATGCATGTAAAATATATGTGGGTTTGCATAGTGTCTGTGTATGTATGGGTTAGGGCGGGTTGTCGATATGTGTGCGAAAATGTATGGCTACATGTATGTACGTGTGGCCGTGTGTTTTTGCGTGCATATGTTTGCGAATATATAGGCATTTATATATATTTGTATATTTAAATGTAACATTATTTTTTATTATCTACTACTTTTATCTTTTTATTTTTTTATTATTTTTTATTATCTTTTTTTTACTGTCCCTATTTATTATTATTATTTATTTTTTTGTCTCACTTATTTATTTCTTTTTTGCTATAAATGTATTTTGTGTTAAATGTCTTATGCTATTTCTCCTCTTGGGGATATTGTGGGAGGGACTGGGGGTAAAATGAAAGGCAATACAAACAAAATAATAAAACAATAAATGTAACCATGTTTTTTGATAACCAATCATTATCTAGAGTCCGACACACATCTACGGTTACACTACCGCTGCTCTGCCACATTCTTCTGAGCTCAAAGTATTAGCAGAGTTTGTGGTCTTTTGCAGCCCCAATGTAAGACTGTGTTTAGTTGTGTTTATCGACTGAAGCGCTAAAGGAAATTGGAGGATTTGAAAGGACTCTCACACTGATGCCACTCTGTATAATGTAAGCTTAGCACTGTTTCTCATTATGTGGGCGGCGGGACAGTAGTCTACGCAGAGGACATCAGCACCTGAAGATTGTGAGAACACACTTATATTTTTAAGCCTCAAACACCAAGAACATGTGAGAAGAAGTTACAACAATTATCTGATGTCAACGTTGTGCGGTGTTATTTAATGCAGGGATGTCAAAGTCGAATACATCAGAGGCCAAAAAAACTAATTTGCTACAAGCACCAAGAACACAGTATACCGTATTATATATAATAATTGAATTAATAATTCAATAATTTTGTATGGCTTATTGTCAAAAAAATGACGGACGTATCTCAGGATTTGAAACAAAAATAAGATGAAGATTCAAGAGGTAAATATAAAACAATATTCAATTCTCTTTACAATTAAATATTAATACAAAACTCTAGTCCTATGAGCTGAGCCATTTTAACTCTCCCTCCAGGCCTGTAAATGTACTGAGAGGACATCCAGGTGCTCTACAATGTCCCCTCCCTCTGTCCCTGCTCAGACTGCTAACATAAATGTCCTACCAACACATTTATGAACATATCTAGAAGAATATGAAGTGCCTCTGATGACGTCATATGGTGAGACCAACTGAGGTTCTGGTCTGGGTCCGGTTTTGGATCTCATGCCCTGTCCCAATAAGAGAGACATGCTGTTCCTAAAATTATACTTATATCACAGAAACCAGCCTTGTCCTCGAGTCTTTCCTAAATTCAGTAAACTCAGGCTGAACATTATACAAAGGATTTTTATGCAAACACCTAATGATAATCAGTAGAATTAAACATTTTATGGAGACAAATCTGAAATCTACATCAGGCTCTGTCAGTAATTTCATTCATTTAATGTCCAGAACATTACATGAATAATGCTGCGACAAGTCAGAGTTCACCCTGCAAATAAAGGCATCTGATTGGTCAACACTTATAACATTAGTCATTTTGAGTCTTCCATAAGAGCTGCCTGGTAGAACGGCTGCACTTCTGGCTCATACATTGACTCAGTGTTACATTAAACAGTCACATTCAGCATTTGTACGTATCATTCCTGTCTGCACAGTCACCGCCGCCATTATGCCCCGTGCTAGTTGCGGCATCACTTGAAGAAACTGTCACATTAGATTTAGTTACACGGCTATTTTTAAAATCACAACTTTTTTGTTTTTTTTCCCTTTCGCTCATCGAGGCACAATCCAGCCTTTCCTTGGCAGCTACAATCAGCTAAAAAAGTCGTCTTGTATGTATAAATATTTGACTTGCAAATGACGCACCTCCGTAACCCAGCTACCTGTCAGGCTGCCTCCACTGTTGCAGCCGCAGCCTTAATCAAAGTGACACTGACACGCCGCTACACATGCTCACATTTGGGTCATGTTTACTCGCTAAATGCAATATGCTTGCACTTCCGGAGAGCTAATTTAGTCCTCTCTCCGAACTGCATGTGCCGACACGTGCCAAATTGACTACTTCATCTAATCCCAAGTGTCTATTTTGCTGTCTCGCAACTGCAAAAATCCTCAATGTTTTTAAATAAAATAACACAGGAATAAGAACTGGGTCATGACCGATAAGCAACTAATTTGCAGCTAATCTGGCAAATGAAGCGCACGTTTGACATTTATCGAAATGGGGTCAGATGGAAGACAAAGGAGGTGTGATTAAAATGTGCCGAATCGCGAACAGAGTTTTATATTTTGAGAGAGAGAGAGAGAGGGAACAAAAAAAAAAGTCTAGCTGGTTAATCCTGATGCAAATTTGTAGCACTCGGGAGCTTATATTATCTTGTGTAATGGGACGTCTAAAATCATTAGCCTGTGCCACCCGTTTTATTAAGCTTGATAAAGAATTCGGAGTTGGTAATTGTTTTCCACTTCATGCACTAACAGCGATTAAAATAATAAATGCCATCCCTGGGTGTAAGCGTTGTTTCGCAATATCAATGGGTTTGTGCTAACTGCAGTCATTACCAACTCCATCCATCAAGCTGTCAACTTCTGCCAATGCCTTCTTCCGCTTTTGTTTACGCTGCAGATTATTGTTATTTTTTTCGTTTTGTTTTGGAATATCTGCTCGCTCCTCATCGCCAGCCATCTATCAGTCAATCGCAGCCAGCTTGGAGATAACTACAGTGTTTTGCAAAAATGGATGCCACATTTTCACCTCTTTCCGCCGGTACCTGTCACAAACACAATTATGCGTTTCTCGAGAAAGGTGGCAGGAATTACTACAGAGGGGTAAACAGAAGCAGCGCTGCAATTTAATGGGAGCAATATCAAAGAGAGGAAAAAGTAGCGGTACCTTGGATGTTGAACGGGTTGTCGATGACGAAGTTTCCGTTCCACACCACGGAGAGATCTACGGGAAGATCGCTGATGTCGCCGCCTTCGTAGTCGTACTGAAAAAGAATAATGCAAAATTGTCATGCTTGGAATTGGTCGGGATGGAGGATGAAAAAGTGTCGACGGGATTGCCTTGGGCTGGAAAATGGCAAAGAAAAAAAAACATGAATAAACAGGCAATAATTGTACTGTCAGAGCCCTACATTAGTTCATATAAATGTCTAGAAGTATCAAATTAGTTCTAAAATATAAAATCATTATTTAAAAATATCATGAAATTTGATGATTATTTACTTGATATGATGTCAAAATACAAGTACTTGATTAGAGCGAAAAAGGGCGGGACAAAGTTATCATGTAAATAGATGTGGGGGAAGTTGTGCAAGAAGGTTGACCGACATGGTTTTAGACTATTTGAATAATTTTGAACAATAAACGATTGGAAAATGGATCTACGGCTTTGTGTTGTGTTTGATGGTGTGAGTCAGAAAGCCTCTATACACCTTTATAACTGAGGGCTTTTGATTTTGCTTTGACTAAGACCAACCCAAAGATTGACGAACATTTGCTTCATCCAACCCCTTTTCAAACCTTGTACTTGTTAATTGTCTTTATGTTTTATATGTGAAAATGTGTGTTGTGGAAATATATTACTAAGATTTGAGACCCTTTATTTGTCCCACAGTGGGGATAATTCAATGCCGCAGTACACAGACAAGACAGTAGTAAGAGCACACAGGGAGCACACAGAATATACAATAGAAGCTGCTATGTTTCTTGGCTGTAAATGCTTCCATATCAATCTTTATCTTCATAGAAATATCTAATATAAATGGTGCAAAGTTATGGATAAGTAGATAAATTGACACACAAAATGCAGCATTGCACATTGAACATGATTATAGCATTTATATGTTTACAGATGAATTACACATGGGTTAATATGAAAAGAAGTCAAAATCTAATCTAAAGATTTCTCTCATTGTGTTTTGCAGAGGCGGTGTGGATTGGTGTTTTTCAGGGTACCTTTGAATTAAAGTCCTCATCTCATAATGGTAAATCCTTCACCCCATCATTCTATAATAAGCTTGTCATCACCGTCTTTAACAGAAAGAGACTTTTCTCAGTAAAAACACCCAAAACTGGCTACAACTGACTGCTACAAAACAATTCTCATCCTTCACCTTTAACCCTTGAGAATTATGGATCTTCTTGGACCCCTCTGACATGTTGCTCCTAACCAAAATGAGTGAAAATGAAACCCATGCAAATCCTATTGAGGTGGAAAAGCAGCTCCATTACACTTCATTTGTGAAGCCAGTGTCTTGAGTGATTTGCCAATCATTCTGTCTGTCAGTCTGATGTGTTATACCTCTGTACGGTCGGTGGCACTGGTTTCGCAGTCCGCCATAATCTACAGATGGGATGTGAGCTGAGAGTGTGAGATGTTTGAACCCCCGTCCACAAGGCCATTGTCAATCTAGAATCTTGGATGAACCAGTGTATTTCTAGTATTTTGTAATATTCTGGATTGAGAAAAAAGTTATGTTATGGCTGACACGACTTCAAAGTTTGTTAGAAAATTCAATTCCAAAGAACTTTCAAAAACACTGCTTAATTCTCCACTCCCTTCTTGTTTCTCCTACTGTTTTGTCGAACACCATAAACATGTATCTATCCAATGGGGAAGAGCGTAAACAAATAAATGCAGTCACAATCACAGCTGGTATAAAAATGATATAGGCCCTACCAGGTCAGGTGACTCTATATTCAGTCTTTTCAAAAAATTAGAAAACAGTGCAGATACTAAAATCACGAAGTCAATGTTGATGCTAAGAATTGGAGTTTCAATAATAGAATTAATATAATAGGGCGGCACAGTGGCTGAGTGGACAGCACTCTCGCTTCTCAGCTTCTTCCTCCGGGTGCTCCGGTTTCCCCTACCACTAAAAACATGTACAATAGGTCTGGTATGTGCCTCCTGTTCTGAATTGTAAACTGCTTTATGACTCTGGTCTGTGAAAGGCGGTGTATACATAAAGATTATTTACTTACTTATTTAATATAGTTATGATTCAAAATGATTCAAAATTCTTTTTTTTTTATGCAAATGCTGCAAATTGTAGCTTTTTGTTTTAGTTCTGTTTAAGATCAAAACTGCTCTGAGAATCCTGTATATATGTATTTTTAATAAACCCAATCAATATTGGTTTTCAAGGCTAGTGTTTGAAATTGATTCTCACCTGATTTGTGTTGCTTTTGCCAATCGTTTTAGAAGAACACAAGAACCCATCACTGATAATCATACTTGTAGAAGCAGATGTGAGTGTGGCAGGTATCCAGGATCTCAGTGTATGAATCAGAATGTCAGGGGAGTGCATTAAGTGCTGTCACTGCTGGTTAATGCAATAAAAGTAGTGATTAGGCCACAAGCCTCCATACTTTCTTTGTCATTTTCACATCCGCTCATCCTTCCTTCAGACGCATACTGTACTAACTGAAATACCCTTCTTATAAAACACAATAATAATAACGATGGGATTAAGAACAACCTGTTCCTTTTCAACTGAAATAACCAAGCAGTTTCAATGTTGAATTTATGTTTCTATACAATTCAGAAACTAGTTTACTGAAGGCTTCAATCAATACAGACACAAATAGGCTGGAATAATTTTGATCTTGAATACCATTGCCTATATGAAAACTCAACCAAGCAGAAATGCCCGTCTCCCATCCCCATTAAATACACAAGGCCCATATAGCATGCTGTGATATAATCTGAAATCCATCACTACACCACCATTTTGACACGGCAGGACAATATATTTGCAGACAATAAACTACTATTCAAAATCACATTCGCCAAAAGTGAGTGCATTTCATAAAACCCTATACGAGCAGCAGATGGGATTCACTTGAGTGGCTATACTGTAGGACTGGGCATAATAGAAGGCGGAAAAGCGCTGGTCAGTGGAGTGAGAGAGGCGTCGGACACTGGCACATGCTAGAGGAGCGATTCATTTACCCGTAAGCTAAGTGACGGCATGAGGCTAAGGAAAAGATAAGATCCGGAGCAGCCCAAAGTGAAAATGGCATTTCCAATTTGCTCCCTGACACTGTGCATTTGGCGGATGGGGCAGGACTATCCCGCATGGGCAATGGGCCTTCACAAAAACCTACTCAAACAGACAAGCACAGGGTTTTTTGCAAGCTTGACACAGTCCACTGAATCAAATATTAAATATAGCGGTGGTAAACAGGCTGGGAATCGATAATGCTGATGCTGTTGTGAAGATGTTTTAGCTGCAAGCATTATGAAACATGTAGTACCTGGTTGTATTGGACTGGAATAGAGAATATATACGTTTGATCATTTTAAAGTGCTAAAATAGTATCTTTTTCACAGTTTGTCTGGCATGGCTTATGAATCTTAAGAAGCAGAGAGATACCTGTACAGGGAGACAACTATTTTAGAGAGTTTGGACAATATTGTATTGTATGATTAAGCCATCCAACTTTTCAAAAAATTGATCACATAATATTTAGAAATCAGTCTAGACCAAGCAAAATCAATAAAACCAATCCGTCTGCAACCTCTATCTGCTTTGAGCTCACCTGGAAGGATATAAGCTAACCCATAATATGAGCAATAGTGCTATCAGACAGAAGCATTGGACCAACTGACCAAGGATAAAAAATCTTACAGGTACATGAGAGTAAGTCATATCTAAAAACCTGGAGTGTGTTCATTAAAAATACAAGTATGTACCTGAATTGTTCTGAATTGGCCAAAACAGGAAACCTCATGGGAGAATCAGTGAGTGAGGGTTCGACTCCCATACATGGACAAGCTATAGATCCAGGACTCGGTCTGAAGTCTGCTTAAGTGTGACATATCAAATACTGTAGACACGGTTAGTGGCTGATTTCACTCTGAACCAGGGATGTCAAAGTCAAATACATCAGAGGCCAAAAAAACTAAACACATTTTCTACAAGCCGAGGGCCGGACTGGTTCAATGTTTATTAAAACATATTTAAATGATTGTATATAACCTGTTGAACCAAGACCTAACACAGTGGACCATATTCTATTTCATGATTAAATGAATAATTAAATAATTGTGTATAAAATTGTGTATGAAATCTCAAGGGAAAACATGTTTCAACAGCTCAAAGACAAAAACAAAATTCCTTGAAAGAGAAAACACATGTCCTGAACATCCATCCATCCATCCATTTTCTACCCTTTAATCCATTTCTGGGTCAGGGGGGTGGCAGTCAGAGATGCCACCCAAGTCTCATAGCACCAGCCCCTCACTGACCCTCTGCAGGTGGTGAGTCCACAGGACTCACCTGTCCTGTCCTGAACAATAAATAAATAATCCAATCTTCTCTTGTATCTCTGTGCGGCTGGTTCTAATACTAATCAAATATCATCCCGGGGGCCAAGATAATTCAAATGTGGGCCGGATCTGGCTCCCGGGCCTTGACTCTAAACAGTAATACATTTATGAAGAGTTGTGAAACTGGAATATGAATCAAGAATGAAAATACAAAAGGCAGACGGACTTTCTGAAAGAGCTAATTATTGCGTGTGGCCTTTCTCTTAAACGAACACACACTCATAGCCTTTTTGTGGAGTTAGTAAAGTCTTTGATTAAACTCAAGGATCGCATGAGGTCGTCTGGTTAATGCCGGCCCGGCTCCAAACGTGTGGGACCTAACCGCAGCGTTCCATCTCCACAAAGCCATGATTTACTGGTGCCACTTGTTCCCACCACTCCACGGTGACCCCTCATACGCACTGGACTCCATTAGCATCTCCCGGCCGCAGCCCACTGCCTCGGGCCCCCAGCGCCAGGTCACACCACAACACTCTCTGCGGTGTGGCCCCCATTAAAGTTTAAGGGGTTTGCAGTTGTTGGGTGTCATGTCCGCCGAACACTGGGAGAGTTTGTTCTGTCGCTGGCTGTGCCCACTGCTGTAGCCACTTAATGCTTTATTCATGGTTTTGCACCGTCTCACAGAGAGGGGGCGCCAGGGGACAGCAGCCA